AGATCTACTCTTGTAACCCACATCATCAATATTAATCAAGCAGGACGTAGGGTTTTACCTCCATCAAGAGGGCCCGAACCTGGGTAAAAACATCGTGTCCCTCGTCTCCTGTTACCATCCACCTAGACGCACAGTTCGGGACCCCCTACCCGAGATCCGCCGGTTTTGACACCGACAGGTGCCTTTGGCATCACCAATCTTAGGCTCTTGCCACTCCTTATTCCATAGTCCATCGAATCTTTACCCAAAACTTGAAAACTTCAACCACACAAAACTCAAAACAAAACTCGTAAGCTCCGTTAGTATAAGAAAATAAAACCACCACTTAGGTACTGCAATGAACTCATTCTAAATTCATATTGGTGTAATATCTACTGTATTCTAACTTCTCTATGGTTCATACCACTTAATACTAGCCATATATGCATCAAAATAAGCAAACAACACATAGAAAACAGAATCTGTCAAAAACAGAACAGTCTGTAGTAATCTGTATAAAACGCATACTTATGGAACCCCAAAAATTATGAAATAAATTTCTGGACCTGAGCAATTTGTCTATTAATCATCTGCAAAAAGAATCAACCTAAAAGCACTCTCCAGTAAAAAAATGGCAGCTAATCTCGTGAGCGCTAAAGTTTCTGTTTTTCACAGCAAGATCACATAAACTTCACCCAAGTCTTCCCAAAGGTTCTACTTGGCACTTTATTGAAACAAGAGCTATAAAACATGATTACTACAGTAGCATAATCATGTGGACACACAAAAACAGTAAGGATAAATATTGGGTTGTCTCCCAACAAGCGCTTTTCTTTAATGCCTTTCTAGCTAGGCATGATGATGACAATGATGCTCACATCAAAGATAAAAATTGAAACATAACGGGAGCATCATGAAGCATATGACTAGCACATTTAAGCCTAACCCACTTCATATGCATAGGGATTTTATGAGCAAACAACTTATGGGAACAATAATCAACGAGCATAGGAAGGTAAAACAAGCATAACTTCAAGATTTTAAGCACATAGAGAGGAAACTTGACATTATTGCAATTCCTACAAGCATATGTTCCTCTCTCATAATAATTTTCAGTGGCATCATGAATGAATTCAACAATATAACCAGCACCTAAAGCATTCTTTTCATGATCTACAAGCATAGAAAATTTACTACTCTCAACATAAGCAAATTTCTTCTCATGAATAGTAGTGGGAGCAAACTCAACTAAATAACTATCATGTGATTGAAAATTAAGATCAAGATGACACGTTTCATGGTTATCATTATTCTTTAAAGCATACGTGTCATCACAATAATCATCATAGATAGGAGGCATGCTTTCATCATAGTAATTTGCTCATCAAAGCTTGGGGAACAAAAAATATCATCTTCATCAAACATAGCTTCCCCAAGCTTGTGGCTTTGCATATCATTAGCATCATGGATATTCAAGAAATTCATACTAACAACATTGCAATCATGCTCATCATTCACATATTTAGTTCCAAACATTCTATAGATTTCTTCTTCTAGCACTTGAGCACAATTATCCTTTCCATCATACTCACGAAAGATATTAAAAAGGTGAAGCCTATGAGACAAACTCAACTCCATTTTTTTGTAGTTTTCTTTTATAAACTAGACTAGTGCTAAAATAAGAAATAAAAAGATTCAATTGCAAGATCTAAAGATATACCTTCACTTACCTAGCCTCCCCGGCAATGGCGCCAGAAAAGAGCTTGATGTCTACTACACAACCTTCTTCTTGTAGACGTTGTTGGGCCTGCAAGTACATAGGTTTGTAGGACAGTAGCAAATTTCCCTCAAGTGGATAACCTAAGGTTTATCAATCCGTAGGAGGCGTAGGATGAACAAGGTCTCTCTCAAACAACCCTGCAACCAAATAATAAAGAGTCTCTTGTGTCCCCAACACACCCAATACAATGGTAAATTGTATAGGTGCACTAGTTCGGCGAAGAGATGAAGATACAAGTGCAAAATAGATAATAGATATTGGTTTTTGTAATCTGAAATTATAAAAACAACAAGGTAACGAGCGATAAAAGTGAGCGTAAACGGTATTGCAATGGTAGGAAACAAGGGCTAGGGTTCATACTTTCACTAGTGCAAGTTCTCTCAACAATAATAACATAGATAGAACATATGACAAGCCCTCAACATGCAACAAAGAGTCACTCCAAAGCCACTAATAGCGGAGAACAAACGTAGAGATCATGGTAGGGTACGAAACCACCTCAAAGTTATTCGTTCGGATCGATCTATAAAAGAGTTCGTACTAGAATAACACCTTAAGACACAAATCAACCAAAACCCTAATGTCACCTAGATACTCCATTGTCACCTCAAGTATCCGTGGGCATGATTATATGATATGCATCACATAATCTCAGATTCATCCAACCAACATAAAAGTACTTCAAAGAGTGCCCCAAAGTTTCTACCGGAGAGTCAAGAACGTGTGCCAACCCCTATGCATTGGTTCATGGGTGGAACCAGCAAGTTGGTCACCAAAACATACATCAAGTGGCACATGATATCCCATTTTCACCACAGATAATCACGGCAAGACATACATCTAGTGTTCATAAAAAGACTCAATCCGATAAGATAACTTCAAAGGGAAAACTCAATTCATCACAAGAGAGTAGAGGGGGAGAAACATCATAAGATCCAACTACAATAGCAAAGCTCGGGATACATCAAGATCGTGCCATAGATGGAATACGAGAGAGAACACGAGAGAGAGATCAAACACATAGCTACTGGTACATACCCTCAGCCCCGAGGGTGAACTACTCCCTCCTCGTCATGGATAGCATCGGGATGATGAAGATGGCCTCCGGTGATGGGATCCCCCTCAGGCAGGGTGCCGGAACAGGGTCTCGATTGGTTTTTGGTGGCTACAGAGGCTTGCGGCGGCGGAACTCCCGATCTATCTTCTGTTCTGGAAGTTTTAAGGTACATAGGTATATATGGGTGCAGGGGGTACGTCGGTGGACCTTCGGGGTGCTCACGAGGTAGGGGCGCGCCCAGGGGGGTGCCCCCCACCCTCATGGGCATCCTGAGACTCCCCTGACGTGCACTCCAAGCCCATCAGGTTGGTTTCCTTCCAAAATTAACTTCTCTAGTTGATTTCGTTTCGTTTTGACTCCGTCTGATATTCCTTTTCCTCGAAACACTGAAATAGGCATAAAACATCAAATCTGGGATGGGCCTCCGGTTAATAGGTTAGTCCCAAAAATAATATAAAAGTGGATAATAAAGCTCAATATTGCCTAAAACAGTAGATAAAGTAGCATGGAGCAATCAAAAATTATAGATACGTTGGAGACGTATCAGATGACGCCGCCGCCTTCGTCGCGGCCTCGGTGGCGCTGCGCAAAGCGCTGTAGGGCGGTGCGTTGGCGCTCCCTCGCCATCTTCAGTGAGTCTTGGCGTGCCCATTGATGGGCCGCGTCGTCGTCGAGCTCGACCTCGCCGTGCTCCGCCTGCACCGGCGCCAGCAACCCCGGCTCCGTCTTCACCGGAGCCAGCCCCAACTCCGTCTTCACCGGAGCGAGACCCGGCTCCGTCTTCGGCTTGACGAAGCGCGGGGGAGGAGCCGACGAGGAGGCGCGCCAGTCGACCTCGCTGATGACGATGCCGGCGCTGCGTGTACGCCGGCTGAGCGGCGTCTCCGCCGCGGGCTCGGCCTTGACGCCGAGCAGCGATGGAGTGCCGGAGGATTGGGAGGAAGAACATGACGAGGAAGAAGAGGAGGAGGAGCCGAACCTCCTCGGCGCCCATTGCCCGTCGCGTCGATGGTGCGTCGGGGTGGCGTCCTCGCCGGGGGGTACGCCAGTGGTGGGTTGTTGCCGCCCTCGAGGTGCGTCAGCACGTCGAGGGTGCGGCCGGGGACGCCCCACCAGAGGTGGCGCCCCTCGTTGTTCTTGATGCCGCCGACCACCGGCGCCCCGTTGGTGGACGCCAGCCGCTGCTGCTGGCGGCGCTCGAAGTACGCCGCCCAAGCCGCGTTGTTGTCGGCGGCGTACTGGGGAAGGGAGCGCTCGGCGTCGGTGAGGGAGGCGCGCGCGATCTCGACCTCGTCGACGAAGTATGATGGCTTGGTGACGGCGTCGGGCAATGGGGGAATGGGCACTCCCCCATTGCTGAACCTCCAGCCCGTCGACCCGGCGCGCATGTCCGGCGGCGTCGGGATGTTCGCCTGGAACAGGAGCCAGGACTCCAGTTCGCGGAGCGAACGGCGGCCGAAGCTGTTGGCCGCCGCCTCGTCTCCGGGGAATCGCTCGGTCATCGGGGAGAGGGAGTGGCTGGGAAGAAGAGATCGACGGGAGAGGGAGGGCTGGGGTGGCACTCCAATGCAGGCGAGCGAGGTCATATATAGCCGCGCCGTCCGTGTGTACGCGTCCGAGGGAGGGGAGGCGTCGGCGCGTCTCGGCGCGCCGCCCCGTGAGGCGCCGCCCGTGAGGAATCAATGGCAAAGCTGACCGGCGGCAGCCTTGCCATTGATTCCCCGCGGGAAACCGAGACGTCGGGAAGACGAGGCGGGCGGTGTAGCTGACGCGGCTGCCCCACGGCGCTTTCACGCCAAAAAAGATTCGCCCGGCGCCCCCCGCCGCGCCGGGTTCGGGTTGGGTCCGCCGTCGCCAATTTCGGCCCGAGCCGGCGAAAAATGGGCCCCTGGAGACGCGATTGGACCGATTTTTTAACCCCGACGGTCGAAAAGTCGCTTGGGGGGCCTTGTTGGAGGTGCGGTTGGAGATGCTCTGAGGCTCGCGTGCGACCGGCCCAAGTTTATTAACAAACCATACGAGCAAACACAAGTCACATATACTCGGACACCACAGCATCACGCTAACGAGCACAGAACGACACAAACATAAGTCACATACACAGATACCACACCATCACACAGCTAATTAATGAAGACAAACTCGCGCTAAGTAAGCACCACAACTGATCGAACGAGACGGCAGCTAGTTGTGTTCGTGGATCTGCTTGACGAGTCCGAGGTTGATGATGCCCCAGGCGGAGCGCGGACATTGTTTCTCCTTGGCCTTGTCCCTCATCACCCTCCCCCGTGACACCCACCCCTCCCACGACATCCTCTTGTCCCAGCTGCTGCCCCACTCCAGCACCAGCCTCAGCCCCTCCGCCGCCGCCGCCTCCGCCTCCTCCCACCTCCCTCCGCCGTTCAGCAGCACCTGAGCCAGCACCAGCCACGGCTCCCCCACGTACGGGTTCTTCGCGATGCACCGCCGCAGCAGCGACTCCACACCTTCCTTGCCGTCGCTGCAGATCGCCTCCCAGTACAGGTCCCTCGCCGCGATCTGTTCGCCGGGGTCCCATCCTCCATGTGGCGGAGCTGCTCGTCGGTGGCGATGAGGCGGTACAGCGCGGCGAGCCTGGACATGGCGCTCATCCACAGCCCGGGCTTTCCGGTCCCCGGCCAGAGCGCGGTCCAGTTGTCGCCGGCGAACTCCAGGCGCCCGTCGTCGTTGCGGAACAGCTTGTCCTGGTAGTCCGTGTACTGGTCGCTCAAGTCGGCGACGGTCATCAGCACGAACACCGCCAGCACGCGCCGCGACAGCGCCACCGGCTCCCCCGTCCGGATGTGCGGCACCACCACGCCCTCCTCCGGCACCACGGACCGCAGCTTCACGCGCCACGGCTCCACCTTGTCCCCCGGCTGCCCCCGCCGGAGTGCGCGGCCTGGAGGGAGGCATCGGCGGCGGCGAGGTGGTCCGGAGCTCGGCGTCGGTGTAGCGGAGGTGGAGGTCGTCGTGCATGAGCGCGTGGCGCGGGGCGACGCAGAAGAGGTGCACGAGCCGCTCGGCGGCGGCCCCGACGATGCCGCGGACGCGGGCGCGGCTGACGTCGGGCTCGAAGATGGCGAGGTTGACGTAGGAGTTGGAGTAGGAGGAGTGGAAGAGGCCGCAGCGGGCGACGGCGTCGGGCGCGCCCCAGAGGCGAAGGATCCGGTAGACGTCGAGGAGGTGGGCGAGGAAGGTGCCGTGCTTGTGGTAGCACTCGCCGGCGCCGGCGGACACGAGGACGGAGACGAGCGAGGGGAGCTCGGGGTCGACGGCCGCGAGGTCGCCGCGGAGGAACGGGCGCGCGGCGGCGAGGATCGACTGGAGCGCGTCGTTCGTCGATGGGCCTCTGCCGTTGCTGATGCCGGTCGCCATTTCGATCGATGATCCCGGCGGGTGTAGTATGTGTGATGTGTGTCTTACTCTCACTCCTGATTATTACCGTGATTGTGTTCTGTTCACCCTCTGCCGTTGCTGATTACTAGTATTACCGTGAGTGAAATGTTGGTTGCGTTGCGTAGCAAAATGAATAATTCAGTGGCCGCATGCAATTCAGGTGTACTAAAGGACGTGCGCGTGATACATGCACGGTGCTAGGATGGTCAGGTAGGAGCTAGGGCTATGATGCGAGCTGTTGTCGTCCTGTGAACGTGGATGGAATGTGTCCAAGTTCGCTTTCCAGTGCCGTGTCTGGAACAATAATCCTACCTTTACTCTTTCACGGGATCTTTTCAACCAACTGACCTGCCCCCTTGTTTTCAATGAAGTGGGTCCCGCCTCATCTCTAACTACCAATCCAAGTCCCCACGTTGGCCAGTCCATTGATCTCGTGAAAAAATCGTCCGTCAAAAAATTCTATGTCTGGCGTGCACCGATGAACTTTTCTTTTTTTGCGATGGCCTGCACCGATGAACACGTACGTACATGCAGGCAAAGGCAGTATTCGATGCGTCCGTTTCAGGTGACATCGGTTTTTGTTGCTTTGCCAGCTTTGGAGGCAGTATTCCCACTCATGTGTGTACATACAGTACAGGAGATGAGGAAATCAGATCCCACCCATTCACTCAGGGTGCGTTTGGTTGCAAGGGCGGTCATGAATGGGTTGGGATCGTTCAAAAAATAGACATGTTTGGTTATAAAGCACATGAATGGTTCGAGCCAAAAAAAGAGAATATGTCATGAAGATGCTGAACCGTTCCACCCAACCAAATCGGTCGAATCAAATGGCCACCCTTTGCATGCATGACTATGTGAGCATGACTGGTGGTCCCGTCCTAAATAATTAGCTCACCACTTATATTCAGTCAAACACATGAATTGAATGGTTCAATCCCAAAAAAATTGAACGGTCCCAACCCATTCATACGACACCTTCAACCAAACGCATCCAGTCGCCTTTTGCATACACTGGGTAACGGTGGAACAAAAGGGCCGCGCGGCAATGTCCCGCTTCGTGCGAGGCAGTAGCTCGCCTCGCTGCAGGCAGCAGGTTCGCGGGCAGGCCCATTTGCCGGGATGAAGTCATGATGACGTTGCACATATTCACATTTTTTGTTTGTATTTTCTGTGTTTATTTTTTTCTCATTTTTTACTTCTGTTTCATTGTTTTCCATTGTAGGTTTTTAAAGTATTCATTGCACTTTAGAAATATGTTATTCGTATATTTAAAAAAAATAAAAGTGTATAACTAGATGTTTCTGACAGGAAAAACGTACAATGTGTATGAAAAAAAATAGTGATCAAAACATGTATATGAAAAAAGTAATCATGTCTTTAATTAATTTTAAACGTGTATAAAAGATGGTTCAGCTGTATATGAAAATTGTACAATGTGTGTGAAAAAGTAGACATCAAAACATATGTTTCAAGAAATGTACAATGTGTCTGAAAAATGTTTGACATGTACAAAAGGATGTTTCATATGTATATAGATAATATACAATATTTAGAAAAAAAAACCAGGCATCAAAACTAGACATTATTCTAACTCTGGGCCACCGCCAGAGGCTTGCTACCCCAACCAAAATTCTAAAAGTACCTAAAGCAAGAACGTGATCCCTCCGGTCAGCGGGAGCACCTTGGTCCATAGCACCTCCAAGGCCCAAATACCATTGGACACAAGGTGTATCGCCAGAGGTAGCGACAAGAGGACAAATACCTTAATCTCCTTCTGTGTCCTGTGCTCCAATGATAACAATAGACACGACTCCATAAAAAAGTAATACGACCATCCATAGATCTTTCGTCTCTCAAATCAAACAATCCAGAAGATGGTTCATCTCTACTGTCATACCACGCCAAGATTAAGGACCTGCGATGAGGGTCATCCAAAGTTAATTCACAACCGCATGATCGAAATTGCAAAAATAATATTGAAAAGTTGTTGGTATGGAGGACACCCGAGAATTCGCTAGCCATGACTTGTGTTTGTTGGTGGAGGGGAGTAAACTTTACTTTTTCCTCTTGGGAACCGCCGCTAATTTGTTTAGCATGGAAAATATTGAAAACTCGTGGTCGCGACGTTGACAGGAAAGCATACCTCTCAAAATTATATTTATCTCTGTTTTAAGCTTTGGCACCTCTATAAATCCCTACTTCCTTCTATGAAGGGCCCATCCATTTACTTTTATGTTATTTTACTTTTATTGTGAGTCACCACCCTCTCATTTAAGCACCAACTAGGGAGCGCTATTGTCATTCTTATGCATTGAGTATAATTAATGTTGGGTGTGACGTGACTGGATCTTTTTTACCATGAATACAATGTTTAATTTAGTCGTTGTTTCAACTTCAGAGGTGCTCTGCATTTATATTTTACGGTCTCAGAAAGGGCTAGCAAGATACCATGTTATCATATTATATCATGATTATTTTGACAAATTGTTGGCATCTGAGATATCTTATTATTGATCGCTAGTTGGTTATGTCATTGATATGAGTAAATATGAGACCTAAATGTTATCATGAATATGGTTAGTTTATAATCCTTGCTGAAAACTTGAGCATTTATACAATAACAAGAACAAAAAGAGTTTGTCAACTGAATTGCTTGAGGACAAGCAATGGGTTAAGTTTGGGGGAGTTGATACGCCCCAAATGTATCTACTTTTCCAAACGCTTTTGCTCTTCTTTTGGACTCTAATTTGCATGATTTGAATGCAACTAACTCAGAATGACGCTGCTTTCAGCAGAATTGCATGGTGTTGTTTTTGTGCAGAAATAAAAGTTCTCAGATTGAGTTGAAAATTTATGGAGAATTATTTGGTGGGGGGCACCGCACACGGCTAAACAATGTCAACTTTTGTGTTCTAGGGTGCCCCTGCCCCCGTATATAAAGGAGCAAGGGGGGAGGCCGGCCGGCCCTTGGGGCGCGCCAAGGAGGGGAGGAGTCCTCCTCCTAGTAGGAGTAGGACTCCTCCTTTCCTAGTCCAACTAGGAGGGGGAAGGGGGAAGGAAGGAGAAGGAGAGGGAGAGGGAAAGAGGGGCCGCACCCCCCTCCCCTAGTCCAATTCGGACTCCCCTTTGGGGGGGAGAGCCACCTCCTGGGTTGCTGCCCTCTCTCTCCCCTAAGGCCCACTAAGGCCCAATACTTCCTCGGGGGGTTTCGGTAACCCCTCCGTCACTCCGGTTTTCTCCGAAATCACCCGGAACACTTCCTGTGTCCGAATATAGCCGTCCAATATATCAATCTTTATGTCTCAACCATTTCCAGACTCCTTGTCATGCCCGTGTTCACATCCGGGACTCTGAACTACCTTCGGTACATCAAAACACATAAACTCATAATACCGATCGTCATCGAGCATTAAGCGTGCGGACCCTACGGGTTCGAAAACTATGTAGACATGACCGAGACACGTCTCCGGTCAATAACCAATAGCGGAACCTGGATGCTCATATTGGCTCCTACATATTATACGAAGATCTTTATCGGTCAAACCGCATAACAACGTACGTTGTTCCCTTTGTCATGTGTATGTTACTTGCCCGAGATTCGGTCATCAATATCACAATACCTAGTTCAATCCCGTTACTGGCAAGTCTCTTTACTCGTTCCGTAATACTGCATCCCGCAACTAACTCATTAGTCACAATGCTTGCAAGGCTTATAGTGATGAGTATTATCGAGAGGGCCCAGAGATACCTCTCTGAAACACGGAGTGACAAATCCTAATCTCGATCTATGCCAACCCAACAAACACCTTCAGAGACACCTATAGAGCACCTTTATAATCACCCTTTTATGTTGTGACGTTTGGTAGCACACAAAGTGTTCCTCCGGTATTCGGGAGTTTCATAATCTCATAGTCTGAGGAACTTGTATAAGTCATGAAGAAAGCAGTAGCAATGAAACTAACATGATCATAATGCTAAGCTAACAGATGGGTCATGTCCATCACATCATTCTTCTAATGATGTGATCCTGTTCATCAAATGACAACACATGTCTATGGTTAGGAAACTTAACCATCTTTGATTAACGAGCTAGTCAAGTAGAGGCATACTAGGGACTATAGGTTTTGTCTATGTATTCACACATGTACTAAGTTTCTGGTTAATACAATTCTAGCATGAATAATAAACATTTATCATGAATTAAGGAAATAAATAATAACTTTATTGTTGCATCTATGGCATATTTCCTCAAGTCTCCCACTTGCACTAGAGTCAATAATCTAGATTACATAGTAATGATTCTAACACCCATGGAGCTTTGGTGTTGATCATGTTTTGCTCGAGGCTTAGTCAACTGGTCTACAACATTCAGATCCGTGTGTATCTCTATGTCCCCTTCCGACACTTGATGACGGATGGAATTGAAGCGTCTCTTAATGTGCTTGGTTCTCTTGTGAAATCTGGATTCCTTTGCCAAGACAATTGCACCAGTATTGTCACAAAAGATTTTCATTGGACCCGATGCACTAGGTATGACACCTAGATCGGATATGAACTCCTTCATCCAAACTCCTTCATTTGCTGCTTCCTAAGAAGCAATGTACTCCGCTTCACACATAGATCCCACCACGACGCTCTGCTTGGAACTGCACCAACCGACAGCTCCTCCTACGTATCTGGTTTGCGACTTAGAGTCATCTGGATCAGTGTCAAAGCTTGCATCGACGTAATCATTTACGCGAGCTCTTTTTCACCTCCATAAACGAGAAACATATCCTTAGTCCTTTTTAGGTATTTCAGGATGTTCTTGACCGTTGTCCAGTGCTCCACTTTTGGATTACTTTGGTACCTCCCTGCTATGCTTATAGCAAGACATACATCAGGTCTGGTACACAACATTGCATACATGATAGAACCTATGGCTGAAGCATAGGGAATTAGTTTCATTTTTTCTCTATCTTCTGCGATGGTCGGGCTTT